GATTTCTGCCTAACACAGTGTTAACTTCTTGTCTTTGTTTTTGGTAATTCTTTGCTTTGCCATGCTTTGCCATCTCACTTTGAACAGAGAATATAGTGTTAGGATTCTAATATCTAACAGTAGTTTCCATTAAAAGTTACTTATATGAAAAAAGGCTTATATATTTTTCACAATCTAACTATATTATTAATGAGAACTGCATTCATTTTACTCTCTTCCTCTTGAAAATGCCTTGCAAGAACAAATATATCAGCCTCCTGAAGATATTTGTTATGCTTCATTTTTGTAACGTGCCCCAAATATCTGTAAGTTCTATCCCACCTTGTCTTACTCAAGGCTCATGTCATAATAACCCTGTGAGATAGACTTTATTATCTTCATTGTACAGATGAGGATAGCAAAAATCAGAGTTTCCATTATAAAACCAAACCAAAATGTTACTCAGGGTCTTTGACTCCCAGTCCAGTGGTCTTTGCACTTCACCACGTACAACTCGTTCATACTAGCTGAGCCCTCGAATGAAAATTGTGTTTCTCCTCAGCATCCTGATAAACACGAGGATGCTTTGGAGGGTGCCATGGGCCTGCCATAAGGAGAGGAGGCAGTGTGAACAAACATGTGGAGAACCTCCCCGGTGGGCCTATCTAAGGCATCTCCAACAGAAGCTGGACTGACAGTAGCAGCTCACCGCATGGAGCAAAACCTCCATGGTGACCGTTGGACTCACCATGAAGGGAGAGTCTGTAGGTGGAGTATTGGAGCTTTTGACAATGAAAGATCACCAGTGGCAGTGGAAAAAGTAGTGGCCTCATATTCGGTAAGGTTTCATAACCTACTGTTTACCAGATGGCATGTGCATCGCAGCAGAAGCTTGATAGCTTTGTGGTGATATCTTCTAAATCTCGGGCTGTTTCCTCTGCAGCCTTCATAGCCCCGGTCATTTTCCCCCTACATGCAAATGTCTTCCCCATGTTATCCCTAAGCCCAGTGATCACCCGTCATTCCTCTAATTATCTACACAATGGACCTGACCCACTCCCACCCACTAATGGGCAGTATATTGGGATTTCCCCCCAAATTGTCCATCCACCAGGATCACCCTCTCCAGGAAGTTATTAACAGGATCCAGGAGTCTTGAAGGAGGAAATGCAGGATAGCCATTCTGGGCCAGTGAGGAAGCTGGTGGAAGCATAGAGATGAGAGTGAGGAGGTATGAAAAGCAGTAAAGCAGCTGACCGTTGGGGAGTAACAAGAAGGGAGGCTGACCGTCCAAGCTGGGCCCTCGGAGGGAAGGGCGCACACTTTCAAGAAGAGATCGGACTTGATCCAGCGAATAACCAAAAAACAGATGAGGGACAGAATATCTTGTATGAGGACGAATAATCAGACTATACAGGCCATAGGAAATGCACAAGGAGAACATGCCCAGATGTTAAGAAATAAGGGAGGCATTAAGTGCTTCCACAACACAAGGCAAGAAGAAATTAAGGAGAAAGAGTTTACTGAACTTGGTTACTCAAGAGAAAAAAAAAAAGACAGTAGAAAATGACTATGACTAAGGTTTATGTGTCATTCACTCCACTGTAAAAACAAAAACAAAAACAGAAACAAACCACGATGCAAGATTAATTCAGACCCTTTATTAAATTGGAATCTCTGAAGGTGGTGGTAGGTGTGCGTTTTCTAAAGTTTCTGCAAGCTCACGATAGAGAACCCCGAGCCTATGCAGCAAGCAGAGAGATTCTGGGCTCACCACCCTTCAGGTAGCTTTCTGGTACTTCTGAGCCAGCGAGCAGGGTTAGCCCATTGCTGGGAGATGTGGTGATTCCCACACACGAAGGCAGCTGCTGACACCAATCCAGAACTTGCAGCAGTGGAAGGCCTCACTGTGCCTGTGACTACACGGACCGCAGGAATGCAGAGGCGGTCGGTCGGAGATGACTGTATTGGGCCATCAGCCCGAGAGGCCTTCCCTCCGGGAGCTGGGATGTAGCCCCGGCCTTACGGAAAGTGACCTATAGCTAGAGACAGACCAGGGCGCCAGTGAGCTGGGGAAAGTGGACAAAGCACTGTGCGGTAGAGTCTGAAGCAGCAGAGCGTGGGCACTCCGTTTCGATGGTGGAGGAGGCCAGGTGACTTCCCCAGCCTCCCTCCAGATTGCTCCTCTGTATGAGGCTGCTGACCCTCCCTAAGGCCATGAGACAAGCGCATTTACCTTGACTCTTTTTTTTTCTTTTTTTTCTTTTAAGATTTTATTTATTTGATACAGAGAGAGACACAGTAAGAGAGGGAACACAAGCAGGGGGAGTGGGAGAGGGAGAAGCAGACTCGCCGCTGAGCAAGGAGCCCGATGCGGGGCTCGATCCCAGGACCCTGGGACCATGACCTGAGCCGAAGGCAGACACTTATCGACTGAGCCACCCAGGCGCCCTGCCTTGACTCTTCTCATCTGTCTCATTTGTAGCTGGCCCTCTTCAACTACATAATAGCTCTTGCTCTCTCACTCTGTGAACACACATGGAATTCGTTCACATTAACAAAAGATGACATGTAATCCTTATGTTAGCATCATATCAATAAATGTGTGTCGAGTGATGTTCCTAGTAGAAACCTTACTTCATTCTCGCTGTGGGCCTACAGAGTAGGGAGGTCAGAGACTGTCCCCATTTTATAGATAGAGAAAGAGAGGCCCCGAGAATCTGGGCAGCCACGCCAAAGACCACAGAGCTACTAAGAGGCGACTGTGATTAGGGGACTTGAACACAGCTTTCTTTTCTCCACCCTTTTGCTGCAGTATTTTCATTTCAACAGGGATCAGAGCCCCGTGCTAAAGGCCTGTGGCTCCAACTGTGGACTTCGACATTAGACATTAACCTTGAGACACACAAAATTGACTCTTTCGGGGCAGCCCTGAATCACACGACACAAGTTACTGCCTTTGCCCTCACTTTACCTCTGCCAGTTGTGTAATCACAGGCAAGTTAGAGAAAATTGCCTGAGCTTCGCTTTACCTGTTCATAAAGTGGAAATAATTTCATAGGGTTTTCTGAGAATTTCCTGAAATACCTCTTTTTCTTCTCTTCCCCATTTTACCTACACACAGTGCAAGATGTCTCAGTCAGAACCACAGGCTCACCCAGTGCCTGCAAAGACCCATTTCCTATTGCCTCCTCTCTGCTTTGGCTCCTAGCCTTTTCTCTGTCCCCCTCAATTCCTGCGTCCAGCCACGCCAGCCTTCCTTCGCTTCTCAAACTAGCCAAGCCTTCTTCCCCCTCGGTATTTTTGTGCATGAGGGTTCCTCTGCCTGAAACCCACTCTGCCCTAGTCCTCTCCTCCTTGCTTCTCATCCTCAGCTGTCAGAACAAGTGTCACTCCTTCAGGAAAGACTGAATAGCTTCCTCCCGTTATTCTTTCTCACTGTATCCTGTAATTTTCCTTTGGTATTACAATTTGTAAGTATATGTGAATCCTTTGTTTACTGGTTTAATATCTGTCTTCTCCACTAGACCACAGACTCTCAGTTGGCCACTGTCTCTTTAGCACCTGGTAGAGAATCTAGCACATAAGGCATGTTCCATAAATATTTGTTGACTGTGTGTTGGATAAATACTGCTCTAACCTCCTGTCCTTTGGGATTTCTTCCTAAACCCTCCTCACCAGGTCATGTACTACATTCCACAGAAAAAGCATTCCCATGGAGCTCACATCCCTGACCGTTTCTCCATTTTTTCCCCCTCAACATTTATTTATACATTATCATTAGGTTGCATTCTCTGGTTGTTTTGCAGTTACTTCTCCCCTTACTGGTTTTCCAAGGGCTAAAACTCTTTCAGGAGCTTTTTTGGAATCCCCCATAAACCTAATAGAATAGCTGGAAATGTTCTTGGTGCTCAGTAATCTCTTGATGAGCAAATGAAAAGACCAGTCAATCAGTTCTGGTATATCCCTTTCCACATAGCAAACATGGAAATACCATTGCAAGAAAACAATTTCTACCCATGGCCCACTGCTGGAGTCCCTCTCAGGTTACTATTTTGAGTTTCAATAAGAAACAAACCATCTTATCTTGAAAGGGAGATTGGATTTACTTTTAATAAGAAAGGCTGAATTGAAAGCTTGCATTTTCCCCCCAAAGTTAATAATAGCACTCGTAAAGCCTTATACTCCTCAACCAGCCTTATTTCAAGAATAAGAGTACAAAGCTTCCCGGTAAGCTTCCGTCATGATAGAAGAATGAGACCCATATCACCAAATCTGTGTGAATTCATTGAGAGCCAGAAGGGGGTCACACAGCAGGGGAATCTAGTCTGAGCATGTTTCCAAAAATCAGTCAGTCCAATCCAGGACGGGCAGAGGAGGCAAAGGGCAACATCAGGTTACTTGGAGCCACTGTCCTCCAATATCTGAGGTCCTGATAGTTACCACTGAAGACTTCGGGCAATAAAGAACTAGCTTTTGATCTCACCCCCTTCACAATTAGAACAAAACAAAACAAAAAAAACATGCAAGTAAAATATGTCATTGCTATGCCCCAAATGATCACTTACTGAAAAGGAATTTCTACATTTGTCTGGTTATTCTGGAGCAGAACCTTCAGTTTATTGTTTGCCCTACTGGCAAACCTCAGGTTACTCGGCTGCTCATTTTATCAGTGTTCTTTGAATGACTAACGATAACAACAAATATATGTACGTACGCACACAGGGTATATATATGTTATAATATATGCATTAGTTCACTTTGACAATTGCCCAGCAGGTTCTGTCTAGTTAGTAGCTTCCCCCTAGTTTAGTATTTGATCTTATAACATGGGCCAGGAAAAGGAAGGCAAGTTTGGGTAAATACCTCTTAACACCCTGAACATTGTCAAGGTCAGTATGGGATCTTTTCTCCATGAAGTATCACTTAATCGCCTGTACTCTCCCTCCGTGGCTTTGTGACAAACCACAGAGCCTATTAGAGACGCCTGCTGATGAGTCCCCTTCTCTCCCTGTCTCTCAGGCTGCAGAAGTCCTGAAGGTTGATGGAGGGCCATGCTATTCAAACAGCAGGCGTGGCTGAGACAGAAGCTCCTGGTGCTGGGAAGCCTTGCGGTTGGGAGTCTGCTGTATCTAGTCGCCAGAGTTGGGAGCTTGGATAGGTAGGTAATTCAACACATACTTATGCCCATGTGACTTCAAGTGTCTCTTGATTTAAACTTCCTTAGGACATAATCCTAAACCTATCCATTTGTTTTCCTCTCTCAAAATTCCCAAGAAACATGCTTTTCTGCAGTATTGGTTTTGATTTATTGAGCCTTTAAAAGAAAGAGCTCCAAGTTGCTCAAACCAAGGTGTTCATCAAGATCCATTTGTATTCTGTGTGCGTTGACATTTGTTTTCAGAGAAGGGATAAAGCCATGTACGTTAAAAATGTCCTTTACTAGAGCTCAGTGTGGTCTGTGTGCATCTGGTTGTCGACCTCTAGCCATCGCAAAATAGCGATGCTGTATCTATTTATCTTCATTTTGAAATTTCTGAGTGAGCAATGAATGTGCTACTGTGAGAGTTAAAATTATGTATGAGCCTGGAAAGGAGCTCATCAAGTTGGAATCCATTGCCTTAGAAAGATGGCTGCAGGCTTGGGGAGTTTTAACCACGTAAATTAGGTCTCTTTTCCAGGAGCTGAAAGGACCAGATGAGGAGGCTGTCACTCAGAGTAATTGCCCAGAAAACAATGGAAAAATCCAGGGAGAGGAAATTTACAGAACTAGCACTTGGCTCTAAATAAGCAAACCGTTGAGAGGTACTAACTAGACTTGCAGAAGTCCCCCCAAATATCAGCTGGCTTCACATTGAGTACCTCTGGACTTTCCCACATTTGGTATGATTGGAAAAGACAAGAAGTTAATTTCTGAAATGAGAAGCTCCCTTCTTTGCCCTTTAAAATTAATTCTTGCACTGGAAAGATGGAAATATGTTCTCTATGAGTTCACTTCCCGTTTTCCATGAAAATGCAGCCACACTTAAAATGAAAATATCTTCCTTACAATTTTCCTTTTCTAATCTATAGGTTTTATCACTGGGTTATTTAATAAATAATATTGCAGTGGTTTTTATTTTCCTTCAGCCAGTGTCAGTTTTGACTAGTAAAGTGAACCCCTCTGATGCTTTTCAATTCAAAATTCCTAAGTGAACTTCCCACTCACTGGTTGCTAACTATGGGAAATGGTATAAGCCAGAGCTTGTCACTGACTTCAAGTAGTTCCCTAAAGTGGTACTTAGTTATTAATGAAAAGCCTTGAGGTGGGCACCATTGTCCTGTCCCTGATGGAACTTTTATGTCAAGTTCTTCCCAATACCTTCAGTTAGCTTCCAATCATTTCATTTTTATTGAGTGATTGATCCAATGATCATTAACATAGTAGTTATTTAGTCAGTGATTCTTTTCATTTTTAACTTGGTGTCTGGTCTCTAATGGGACAGCTTTTGGGCTTTCCCAAAACCTCTAATTTGAGAGTTTGAACAAAATTATGTCTGAAATTGACACATACTTACTTAGGTCTATCCTTTAGTAACTGAAGACCCTGCTCTCTGGGTGGGGGGCTGAACTGTCCCTTCCAGTCCTAAGATTCCATGTTTTTTCCCATGTCTGAGGCCCATGCTCAGCATCTACTCTTCGGGAAATAGAAATAATATATTTTCTCCTATCATGAGTTAGGAAGTCAAAAAAGCAGTTGTTCTGCAGGGTATGAGCTGCCAAGGTGGAAGATAGAAAGAGGAAGGAGGGAAAGAAGGAACAGCCCTCTCTAGAAGTAGGGAAATTCTTTCCTGCTCTAACAGGACAGAGATGGTCTGTTTCAGGCTCTCTTGACCAGAGTTCTGCAAGAGAATTAAGTCCTTACAGAAAAGGAATGTTCTAGATGCATTGGAGAGAAGTCCATCCATTACATTCCACGGATGCTGTAGGGAATTAGGGCCTAATTCTCAACCAGAACCCAAGAAGAGCTAAAAGATGAATTTGTGATATCCCCATCAATGTCACAATTAAAAATATCTTTGACTATGTATGTGTTGCTACTTTTATATCTTCCACGTAGAGCTCTAGCATATTAATCTTGTTAACAAATTTATAAAAACAAAATTCATGTTTCCCTAAGATATTAAATGTGAACCCCATTATTTTTATACTATTCCATATTTTCATGTTTTCCACAATGAGCATGAGTTGTTTCTAAAATCATAAAAAACAAACACCACAGACAAATAATATATGAGTATAGTTTTCCATAAGCATTATGATAGACGTTTAAACAGACAGGCAAACTCTTTTCCCTCAGTTCTGTAGAATGCCATGGCATGACAAAGTTTCCCTCCTCCTTTAATTATAAACATTACAGAAGATGGGAATGGTACAATAGGGTCTCTTGGGAAAAGCAAGAGACAGCCTCATTGCCACAGAGAGGGGAACATAGACACCAAATAATTAGGATAGCTAGAAGCTTCAGTTGGAGGATTGGCTTAACAGCCATTTTGACTAGTCTTATACCCTTTAGCAAGAAGGCTAAAATGCCTTTTCAGATAAACTTAGGGAAGTTAGAATGAATTTCAGTTAGGTTCCAGACTGTTACCCAAAAGGAAACTCCATATGCCACCCATAGACACTGGTCGTGCCAAATCAAGCAGTAACTCTAGTCTAGTATCATTATGATTATTACCACGCCTTTCTGTCTGAAAAAAAGCAGTGGTGGTGGTTCATTATTTAGGGCAATGCTGAAGTGGAAATCCTCCTTTCTGGCTCCATCCATTGCACGTCTTCCTTCCTACACTGATATCCATGGGCTTGGCAGTGAGAACCCAAAGCTTCTGACTCTGCCAAGGTCTGGTTGATTTCTGCTCCCAGGCGTGGGAGGTGATAGACAGCACTTGCCGATGGCGCTGGATTTGTTCCTACATTCAGCAAAGTAAAAACATAATCTCGACCTCTTCAGACAGAAAGAGAGAGAGAGAGAGGCAGAAGAAATATAGTATTCGCCTAGCTGTCCCCAAGGCCAATGGCAGAAATTCTGATAGAACGAAAAGCTCAGCAAGTGCCAAGATTGGATTTTTGCAGGTTGTTGATACAACTAGCCATGGGCAGAGACTAGGACCTCTACTCAGATTAGATCTCAGAGACTTCTAAGTGCAAGAAAATACTACCCCACGAAACCCAAAAGACGTGGCCTCCTAGCCAGGCTTCGGCCTCGCAGCTGAAAATGGTCATCTTCTGCCTTTCGAGTTTTCTAAATGATGTTAACTGGTGAGCTGTTAAAAGGCTATTAGTATGGCTGGTGTCACTTGTCTGTCCTGTATTGCGAACATAAGTGCACGCTGTAGTCAATTAAGTGCTTGGCGAATAAAAATTTTAAGGAGCCCTAATAAAAATAATCCCATCAATTATGTGTGCTCCATTAAATACAGGGTTGCTTAAAATAAAATTTCCCAAACATGTTCCTTATGGATTGCAGCAGGCTGGGAACCAGTGGTTTTATTTATGCATCTAAAGTCTTACTCCAACTAGGGAAGCAGAAAAATGACAAGTTAGTCGCCAGGAGCTTCTAAAAGCCACTTTCTGTTGCTTTCAGGCTACAGCCCATTTGCCCCATCGAAGGCCGATTCGGAGCCCGCGGCCAGGCGGAGTTCCCTCTCCGCGCCCTGCAGTTTAAACGTGGCCTGCTGCACGAGTTCCGGAAAGGCAACGCTTCCAAGGATCAGGTTCGCCTTCATGACCTGGTCCAGCAGCTCCCCAAGGCCATTATCATTGGGGTGAGGAAAGGGGGCACCAGGGCCCTGCTTGAGATGCTGAACCTCCATCCAGCTGTCGTCAAAGCCTCTCAAGAAATCCACTTTTTTGACAATGATGAGAATTATGCCAAGGGCATTGAGTGGTACAGGAAAAAGATGCCTTTTTCCTACCCACAGCAAATCACAATTGAAAAGAGCCCGGCATATTTTATCACGGAGGAGGTTCCGGAAAGGATTTACAAGATGAACTCATCCATCAAGTTGTTGATCATTGTCAGGGAGCCAACCACAAGAGCTATTTCTGATTACACTCAGGTGCTAGAGGGGAAGGAGAGGAAGAATAAAACTTACTACAAGTTTGAGAAGCTGGCAATAGACCCTAATACCTGCGAAGTGAACACAAAGTACAAGGCAGTAAGAACCAGCATCTACACCAAACATCTGGAAAGGTGGTTAAAATACTTTCCGATTGAGCAGTTTCACATTGTCGATGGAGATCGCCTCATCACGGAACCTCTGCCAGAACTTCAGCTCGTGGAGAAGTTCCTAAATCTTCCCCCTAGGATAAGTCAGTACAATTTATATTTCAATGCTACCAGAGGGTTTTACTGCTTGCGATTTAACATTATCTTTAATAAGTGCCTGGCGGGCAGCAAGGGGCGCATTCATCCAGAGGTGGACCCCTCTGTCATTACCAAATTGCGCAAATTTTTTCACCCTTTCAATCAAAAATTTTACCAGATCACTGGGAGGACATTGAACTGGCCCTAAAATAATAAGTCATATAACACTATGTGTTGTGGCTGGAGACACACAATGTCTCCTCTAGATTAAAATATGCACTTTTCTTAGACACAACCATCCAAGTCATTTTTCCATGTATACTTGTACATACACACTGTGTGACCAAATATAAGATCAATTCTTTTTCTATTGAAAAGTTACAAAAAAATAATTCACTGTCCGAGTAGTTGCATCTTCTAAGATATTTACAAAAAGAAAAGGTGGTGGTATTGGGGGAAAGTGACTTCAGCTATTCTCAAAGAGTTTAGTCTTCCTTTGAGTCAGAATTTGTCGCCCGCCATTTTCATAGAGTTAAGCCAAAAGATGATGTGTGAAAACGTACCAATGGCTGTGAAGCTTCAGGAAGTAGAGGATTCAGTTATGCATTCTTTTCTAAGGGAAAGCTGGCTCTTTAATTCAGCTCCTGAATTGGTGCCGTGGAAACAGAAAATACTATTTTCTTATTATTCGAAAGAATGTCGTATCTCATAAAATTGACATTGTCCCAAAGTTCCTGTGGTGATTTTGCACTATTGTTTTCTCGTATAGACCATGGTACTTGTAGCATGTCAATCACACATTGGAAAGTTTAAAGTCCTTTTACTTCCATGTTCTGTGTCAACAAAGAGAAATGTCATGTACATAATGTATATTGTTGTAAATACTGGTTTCACACTAAGTAATTCTATTTTGTAAACTGAATATGGCTATTTAACTTATTGTGAAAATTAAATTTATTGTGGTATTTAAAAATGGAATGGATTAAAATCACTCTATGTGCAACCTTTTTTTTTTTTTTTTTACTCATTTTGTTTTACACGCCCCCTGCTGGCTCCCCAAATCGAAGCTGTTTATGTGCATACGAGCGCGCTTGGAAAGAGGCACTTCCTGGTTGGATTTCTGTACCCTTGTGAAAATGTTTTTATGAAGTGAGGTTGAGTATATTAAAAAAAAAAAATCTCAGCCATCTGGAAATCTAGTAATAGAGCCACCTCAAAGAATACTAGTTTTTCTGCTACAACTTTGTAACAATTAATTTACATGCAGTTTCTGCTGTGTCAGGAGAGAGACAGAAATACTTTAACATAATCAAGGCATAGAAGAATCACAATTTTATTTGAACCTCTAATCAGAGTCAGACCAGTTGAGAAATTAAATAAGTTTAGGAGGGGCGCCTGGGTGGCTCAGTCGTTAAGCGGCTGCCTTCAGCTCAGGTCATGATCCCAGGGTCCTGGGATCGAGTCCCACATCGAGCTCCCTGCTCTGCGGGAAGCCTGCTTCTCCCTCTCCCACTCCACCTGCTTGTGTTCCTGCTCTCGCTGTGTCTCTCTCTGTCAAATAAATAAATAAAATCTTTAAAAAAAATAAGATTAGGAAACTTGTGTGGCCTCTGTACTGAAAGCGGCTGATGCTTCAAAAATGAATACAAACTCCCAGAACTGCCTCTTTGAGATGAAAAAAAAAAAATCAGTCGGCTCAGAAATGATCAAATGCGTAGTGCTGCTATTACTAACATAAACATATGGCTCATATTTCCATCCAGAGAAATTAATGCTAAATTGGGTGAGTGCTAACATCAGATACACTGTATCAGGCTTAAATATAATTCAGAAAACCGTGGAAAGAGGTGTCGACAACAGCAACAAAAAGAGGGATTTTTCGCAATCGTGGCTGCCTATCCAGTAGAAGACGTTTGAGGGAGTTTTGCTCAACACCACACTGAGAGTGCCTAGAGAAATCAGCAAATTACAATGGGTTCCCTTTTGATTGTTTAGTTAAGTGTTGACTTTCCCCATGAATTGTTTCTCCTGTCCAGCGATTTGATGGTGAACTTCTCTAAATAAGTAGCCCTTTCCCCTCTGGTTCGGTATATATTCCTTCTTAAGCGACACAGCCTTAGTGACCATCTCTCCCGTTTCAGTTAGCGATGCCGTTCTCTAAGCATGGGATAAGCGTGCTGGCAGCACACGGTGACAGGCCAGTTCCTCACCCACCGTGCAGTGACCCTGGAGAGAGTGTCGGGTCTAGATGCCAATCCCTTCTCCCGTAAGCCATGAATGAAATCAAACATAATGAATGTAGCATTAGATTTCCTTGTGCCTCAACTGTCAGCCAGCTGTTAGAGTAAACTCTGAATACTGCGTTCAAGGTCATAATCACATGCTATTATCAACTCTTTCTAGAGCACTACATGGCTGATACAGTTTTATACCAGTAACTGTGAAATTACGCCCCACTGGAACACGGATGTTTCCGAAAGTCAGCCTGGGTAGTCCACCAATAAAACTGAAAAATGGCAGTCTTTTCCTAGGCAACCAGAGAAGTTTTTCTAAAACAATGAATAGAAATTTATCAGTGATCATCTTTTATATTCTAAATTTTTCTTAAATTTTGCTGCTGCTACCAACAATATAGATCTCAGAGTTTATTCAAAGATTCTGTTTGACTTATACTGACTTTTCTAATTGGTTATTTTGGGCTCAGGAAGCCAGTATTTTTTCATCATGCTTGGAAAAAAAAAAACAACTCTGTGATTTCCAATAGTTCTGCTTCCTGAATAAGTTTGAGAATTGCTTTAAACCTTGGAACCTCTCCAAAGGGACTTAAAGCAGAAGGCCTGGCCTGGGAGGATGCTTTGGAGGCAGGTTTCACTGCACTGAAAAAAACAAAAAACAAAAACAAAAAAACCTAGCCACAGCCACTGTTGATTGAGCAATGTAGAGAGAAGTAAAAATCCTGTAACTTAATAGCGTACCTCCACTGGAGGTTTTAAACCTCCTTGTTTAAAACAACGTGTCCTGTTGTCATCAAACAGGCAGCAGATCTCTAGAGAAATCCTCAGCTCATTACGTTAGCTTTACCAGGGCTTTCTTGAATAAGTGATTCCTTTTACATTATGAAATCTCTGCATTCTTCCTGGAGGCTTGGTGGCACCATATGGCTTTGTGAAACAGTTCTAACTGCAAAGAGAAAAAAAACTTTAAGCAATGGTGAAGTTTCTGCTGAACCAAAAAAGCTGAAATGACACTGGTGATTTTGGAACCCAAGGAATGCTGATTATAAGTACACAAACAGGAACAAGAGTCCTGAGGGGTCAGAGAAAAAAAGAGACCTACAAACCCAGAGACACACATCCCCAGTTCCAAGTCCATCCCCTACTCAACCTGAAATCACCTCACAGAAGCCCTCAGTTGATGAAAGCACTCACTTTTCCTACTAATTTCACTGCCGTATAGAAAACGTCTAAGACATTAGGGTCCTTATCATGTATGAGAAAGCAAAGGCATGTGAACCATCATAATCACATCTGATCTTAGATTTGGCACCTTTTATGTGGAGGGACCAGCAAGAACCGTCACTAATTGCCACTAAGGCTGACAGGGCCTCACGAGAGCACTGTTTGGGTGCCGCGCCTGGTAGAAGGGCCCCGTGAGGAGTGTTACGTGGGACACGGGAGGCGTGTTGCTGCTAAGGGGAGGTGGGAACCCAGGACAAGGAAAGTCCAAATGCCAGTCCCGCCAATAAGCTTTTGCTTTCTCCAATTAGCAGTTAACTAAATTGGATTGCCTTCATAAGCCTAATTTGAGAATTTTCTAGGGATGGAGAATTTCAAATGATCGTAAATAGTGTCTTCCTGCTGAAGTCTTTTGTACTTTTTGGCACACTCAGCAGCCATTCTCCCCTCAGAAGAACAGTCTACAGTGTAAGCAAAAAAAGAAAACTTCACCGAAAACATTCCCCCTAAAAATGACTAAATACGGCAAAATCTTAGTAATTCGAGCTAACAAAGTGAAAATATAGAATATCTTCAAGCAAACTCATTGCAATTATTCCCAAGTGGATAAGGTGCAAAACTGTACTAACAATATACTGAAAAATACCTGATTGCATCTGCTTTACGAAATAAAAGCCTCTTAATTGGCATAATTTTTTTTCCAAATTGGTGTTACTCAAGTATTTCAAAACAGTCTATTCTCTTAACCAGGTCCCTCAGGCCCCCTAGCATCTGTTTATCAATTTTCATAGGAAGCCTTTCCTTTAGAGCGAGGCCAAGGATGAAATTTAGGCCCGAACAGGATCATTTGGTAAGGTTCTAATACAGGTGCCTTACTACACATGTTACAAATACAAATGCAAATGCACTTTCAAAGATTTCTTTCCAGTTACATTGTATTGTACTTTTGAGGAATAAGAGTGCTATTTCATAATGATTCAAAACAGGGTGGGGAGTTGAAGAGGCAGAACTGAACCGACAGCAATAGGCGTTCCCATAGAAAGCCCCTGACTGGGATCCCAAGAACAAGTGTCTCTTCTTTAAAGGCAGCTCAGTGGAGAAGAAATACTCTGTCAGGCACAGCACGTAGGTGGTAACAGGCTTGGTGCCTGATGGGCCTACTTCTCTCCCTTCTGAGTCTGTGAACCGTGTCTGTCCACCAGGTCTCGGGGAGCTGTTGGTGAAAGGGCTATTGTTTCTAAACACACATGCCGCTCCCCCCTTAAAAGCAGTCCACCACGAGGGTCGGGGGTTCCCCATAGATTGCTAACTTTACAAAGAGCCTCCACCGTTTCTGAATGCACAGAATTCGGCTTCACATGTCCTTTTCAGACAGATGCAGCATTGCTGGCTTTAACGACCGACGGCGGAAGCCATGAGCCAAGGAACGTGGGCAGCCTTTAGAAGCTCCAAAAGGCAAGGAAATGGATTTCCCCTCGACCCTCCAGAAGGGAACACCTGTCAACACCTTAATTTTAGCCCAACGGAACTTGTGTTGGATTGCTAAACCTACGGAAATGTGAGAACAAGTTCGTGTCGTTTTCAACCACGGACTTGCGGTAATTTGGTACAGCGGCCACGGAAAACAACTCCAAGAAATACGGAGAAACAGAGCGCTCGCCAAGTACTGGTGTGTTTAATCAGCTGATGCTGATCATCTTCACAGGGTGATGGGGCAGCAGGCATCGGTCGCAAAGGGCCTTTCCAAACAAAGCAAGCGGAAGTCCTGAAGGACAAGGGTAGGTTCCCGAAGGCGA